CTGATATATTACTTATATGTATGTATGTATATTATATATATATGGATTTAAGTTTATATTTTTATATATTTTTTTCTTAACTCTGTGTACTGTATTTTGTATATTTTGTATTTTAATTATAAGACTGTATTTTGTATTTATTTATCATTGTTGTATTTTAATGACCAAGTTTAATAGGGAGGGAATTATTCTTTGGGAATTTGTTCCACAAGGTCAAACTGTGAATCAAAACTTTTATATGGATGTTTTGAAGCACACGTGTGAAAATGCCATATGAAAAAACCAGATGTTTGGAAAGCTCAGAACTGGCTGTTGCATCATGACAACACTTCTCTCACATGGCTATCTCTATTCAACAGTTTCTTGCCAAAATTAAAATGGCCATAGTTTCCCACCTTCCTTATTCACCAGACTCAGCACTGTGTGACTGTTTCTATTGCCAAGGCTGAAAAAAGTGCTGAAAAGACAGCAATTTGAGAACAATGCTGACTTTCAAATGGAATTACAGTAAGTGCTTAACACAAAAAGAGTTGCAGGAATGTTTTGAAAACTGGGAGAATGCTGGAATCTATATGTATAGCTGTAGAAGGAACTTATTTTGAAAATAACAATTCTCAATAAAGTTTCATGTATGGTACATCAGTCAGTTTTTAAAAATTATCTTTTGACCTAAAAAATTTAAATCTAAAAATAACTTGATTATAAATCATTTACATTAGAAAATAAATTTTAATTGATAAAAATTAAATTTGCCCTCTGTTTTATTTAATTTTGTAACACTCCACTTAAAAGAATTTGTAAGTAAAACCCAATTTTACTTTAATGCTAAATAAAAATTTAGAACAACGACCCCAGATTATCAGTCTGATAGGAAATGACTGAAAATGAATGGGAGAGCATAGAACAAGTTATCAAAATTAGTGAAGGTATTATATTTAAAATCTCCAGACATATCTAGTTTACAATAACAATAATAATTTATGTACTCGATTCATTTACGATTTGTATGTTAGGTAAAAATTAAAATACTATGATGGAAAATCATTTCTAATTTAAAATATTTTTGTTTATTTAGAAACAAGATGATTACATTTTTGATTAGTATTTGAACAGATTGTGGACATTGAAACTTTAACATAACATTTAATAAGACGTCAGATTCGATCAAATTACTTACCTGATAAATTTTGTCCATAGTGTCTTTCCAAAACTGAATTCGCATCATTCCGATAGTCGGATTGGAGACGACATCTTTTATCTGAAAACACAATAAGTTAAACATGTACAGTACCTTAATAGCTAAACAAAGGGAAAAGTCTAAAAAGATAAAACACGTGCTAATGCAGAATAAGTGAGCATTAAATCTCAGATAAAGTTAATTTGACAAAACAAACAGACGGTAGAGAATGCACCGACCAAACCATTCAATAATTCCAAATTTATCAAAATTTCTCGAATGGATACAGGAAAGTATTATCATATCCCCAATTTACAATTACACCTTGGTTTCTGAATATCTTACAATTTAGTAACAGATAAAACTCGTCCCCGTTTACATGATTTCAATTTAGAAATTTTGTAAATAGGAACGAGTTTTATCTGTTATTTTTGCATATATAAACATATTAGCTACACAGAATGTGGAAGGCATGAATATTGGCATATTGAATATTGTGAAGTGGGAGATGAAAAGAATTTTGACATCATTGGAATTAGTGAATTGCGCTGGAAGAGCAACGGATACTTTTACTTGGATAATTTTACTGTATTCTTCTCTGACTATGATGAGATAAGGAGGATTGGAGTAGAATTCATTCTGAACAAGATCTCACAAACAGTAGAAAGTTTTAAGGCAATTAATGACCGCATAACAACAACCGTCCAATTATGCAGCAACCAACAAACATTACAATTGTGCAAAGTTTATGCATCTAAAGCAGAAGCCAGTGAAGAAACACTGGAAGACTTTTACGCTAAAGTAAAGGAAACTGGAAAGGAAACACAAAAGAAAGATGTCATGTACCTATATCATGAGTGACTTCAACACCAAAGTTGACAGCAAGTCAGAGGCAAATGCTACAAGAGGATTTGGATTAGGAGAATGAAACAAAGTGGGTGATTGATTGCCTAATCCAGTTTTGTCAAGAAACTTGGCTCAGAGTAACAAATACTTTCTACATGCAGCCTAAACAAAGACTCTACACTTGAACATATCTATTGTAACTAGATTGACTACATTCTATGCAGCCACCACTGGAGGAGCTCGGTCAAGGCAGCAAAAACCTTTCCAGGTGATGACTGTGGCTCTGATCATGAACTTGCAGCCAAAATCAAGATCAGATTCTGTGTTGCCCATAAGAATATCCAACAGAGAAAATTTGACACTTTCAAGATCCCTCCTTCATATACTCTCAAGATGACAAACAGATTTGAGTTGCTTGTTACAGCAAAGAAACAACCTGAAGAACTTTGGAATGATATTCTATCCATCATAATTAAAGCTGCCCATAAGAATGTCAAACTGAAGATCCCAGAAAAACATTATAATTGGTTGTCAAAGCAAACCATTGGCTGTATTCAGCAGACTCAACAGTTACGTAACCATCAAGTATTTTTCTGCCGAACACCCTGTACAGTAGTGCCATTTTGGAACATGTTTGATATTGTCGTCACATTTAGTAGTGTCTTTCATTTACACTACCTATCACTAGCTGCAACTGATCAATGACAGCTGCTTCCCGTTTGAATGCATACCTTACTCATCATTTAGCAGATGTAACTATGGGTGCGTTTACTTCTGAGCTAATAGTGCTACTTCTGAACACTGGAAGTGACGTCATTAGCATGTGTATTCGTGCTTACATGTCCAGTTCGAAAGTAAACACGAATGCTAACAAGAAATATGGCGGTTTCCTGCAAATAGTATTGTCAAAGCTGCTATTTTAAAATGTTACGTTACAGATATAACTATTTGATTCCGAATCAGATGAGGATGATTTTATTGTGGATATAACTGTAGAAAAAATGAAAAAAGAGAAAAGAAAAGTAAGGTAAAATAAAAAAAAATAGAAACTTTTATTGAAGAGACTCTACCTTTTTATAAGCCAACTGATTTTAAACAACCTTAGATTTACAAGAAAATGTTTTGAAATTCTCCTCTAAAAAATAATCCCAATTATAGACACAGAAAAATTACTTCCTCTGGAAGACGACATGTGTCTCCTCAAAAGCAGCTTTTATGCTGTCTATGGACATTGGCAAATCAAGAATCATTCAGGTTTGTTTATATGAAGTAATATAGGAAATTAGATGCCGTNAGAGTTAGATTTTTCAGGTGACAACTGTGGTAGAAACATCTGGGATCAATTAGAGGAAACCGTATCTTTTTGCTGTAGAATCCTTTTGAGGTGGAGATAAAAGTTTTGTTGAGTTGGATATTATTAGTATTATTGTCTTTGATTATTGATTTTTGTTGCATCTTTTCCAGTGTTCAATTATTTAACTTACTGTTGGGACAATTAACCCATTATTGTTTTTTTTTGTCAAGATAATAAACCTTATATTTATTGTGAATTATTATATGTGGTTGTAAAAATTATTGGTTTTTTCTTTTGGAAAGTCCAGGCCTGGTACTTGAACCCTACTATTATGTAACCCCTTTTGGTTTTCGTAAACGGTGCGTTACAATGGGATTGAAAATTTGCAGCAAAGGTGACAAGACTTATTGATATTGATTTGATTACCTACAAGACTGAACTGTAATCATTGTTGAGTTAACTGTCAATAAAGTTTTTTCAAATTGCATAAATTTCAACTTTACAACCTGATATATTACTTATATGTATGTATGTATATTATATATATATGGATTTAAGTTTATATTTTTATATATTTTTTTCTTAACTCTGTGTACTGTATTTTGTATATTTTGTATTTTAATTATAAGACTGTATTTTGTATTTATTTATCATTGTTGTATTTTAATGACCAAGTTTAATAGGGAGGGAATTATTCTTTGGGAATTTGTTCCACAAGGTCAAACTGTGAATCAAAACTTTTATATGGATGTTTTGAAGCACACGTGTGAAAATGCCATATGAAAAAACCAGATGTTTGGAAAGCTCAGAACTGGCTGTTGCATCATGACAACACTTCTCTCACATGGCTATCTCTATTCAACAGTTTCTTGCCAAAATTAAAATGGCCATAGTTTCCCACCTTCCTTATTCACCAGACTCAGCACTGTGTGACTGTTTCTATTGCCAAGGCTGAAAAAAGTGCTGAAAAGACAGCAATTTGAGAACAATGCTGACTTTCAAACGGAATTACAGTAAGTGCTTAACACAAAAAGAGTTGCAGGAATGTTTTGAAAACTGGGAGAATGCTGGAATCTATATGTATAGCTGTAGAAGGAACTTATTTTGAAAATAACAATTCTCAATAAAGTTTCATGTATGGTACATCAGTCAGTTTTTAAAAATTATCTTTTGACCTAAAAAATTTAAATCTAAAAATAACTTGATTATAAATCATTTACATTAGAAAATAAATTTTAATTGATAAAAATTAAATTTGCCCTCTGTTTTATTTAATTTTGTAACACTCCACTTAAAAGAATTTGTAAGTAAAACCCAATTTTACTTTAATGCTAAATAAAAATTTAGAACAACGACCCCAGATTATCAGTCTGATAGGAAATGACTGAAAATGAATGGGAGAGCATAGAACAAGTTATCAAAATTAGTGAAGGTATTATATTTAAAATCTCCAGACATATCTAGTTTACAATAACAATAATAATTTATGTACTCGATTCATTTACGATTTGTATGTTAGGTAAAAATTAAAATACTATGATGGAAAATCATTTCTAATTTAAAATATTTTTGTTTATTTAGAAACAAGATGATTACATTTTTGATTAGTATTTGAACAGATTGTGGACATTGAAACTTTAACATAACATTTAATAAGACGTCAGATTCGATCAAATTACTTACCTGATAAATTTTGTCCATAGTGTCTTTCCAAAACTGAATTCGCATCATTCCGATAGTCGGATTGGAGACGACATCTTTTATCTGAAAACACAATAAGTTAAACATGTACAGTACCTTAATAGCTAAACAAAGGGAAAAGTCTAAAAAGATAAAACACGTGCTAATGCAGAATAAGTGAGCATTAAATCTCAGATAAAGTTAATTTGACAAAACAAACAGACGGTAGAGAATGCACCGACCAAACCATTCAATAATTCCAAATTTATCAAAATTTCTCGAATGGATACAGGAAAGTATTATCATATCCCCAATTTACAATTACACCTTGGTTTCTGAATACCTTACAATTTAGTAACAGATAAAACTCGTCCCCGTTTACATGATTTCAATTTAGAAATTTTGTAAATAGGAACGAGTTTTATCTGTTATTTTTGCACCCACTTCTGAAAGTCTCAAAAATTCTGCACCTCAGTGGAAATTTCGTAACACATTTCCCCAGAGTCTCCCAATTAAGTCAAAAACAGTAAGAAACATCCATTAGCTATTGACCAACAATTTGAAACAAATTAAATTAAAGCGAAGTGTCAATGAAGTTACCACAACAGGAAACGAGAGAAAGAAATGCGCAAATTATCGTATATTTCTCTATCTAATGATAAGAAAACAAAACGGTAAGTCTGCCAGAAGAAAAGTAAAATGCAAGTGGAACATATATTCCTTGTCTTTAAGTGTAATGCCCCTCAGTTTCTACACTAGTTGTATTGAGCTTTTTATGGAAAAGGGGTACTCCTGAGACTTATTTCGTATAAATTTGACTAGTCGCTTTTCAATAACAAAAGTAGGAGAATTGCATTTTTCTATAACTGGGGGTAATTGAAAGCCTGGTTTATGCATTTTCCCGAAAGCAAAAATTCTGGGTGTTCTTGAATCTTGAATATTAGATTTCTCCATATTTAATAGATGTGCTAACAGAGTCAAGGTGAATTTCTTGACCCTTTGCTGTAAAGACTCTAAATAGTTTTCAGTTGCATTAAGACATACTTATGAAGGCTGATAAATCCAAAGCTGTAGTGCTTATCAAACGAGATTCCTACAACCAAAAATTAAAGGAACACATCAGGAACACAGAATGTCTTCTTTGACTCTGTTAGCATGTTTATTAAATATGGAGAAATTTAATATTTGAGCTTCAAGAACACCCAGAATTTTTGCTTTTGGGAAAACGCGTAAACCGTGCTTTCAATTACACCCAGTTATAGAAAAATGCAATTTGCCTATTTTCAGTATTAAAAAGCAACTAGTCAAATTTATACGAAATAAGACTCAGGAGTACCCCTTTTCCATAAAAAGCAAGTGGAACAAAACTGTTTTCTTCTTAATGAAATCATATTCACAGATACGAGAGTTTGTAATGAAGAGATGCTTGCTAAACCATCCAACACTGGTAAAGGGGCCATCCATAAATCAAGTCCACCGAAGGGACGGAGGAATTAGACACATCAGATAAAGGGAACCAGAGGAGGTTGAGCTTCAGTGGGTGTCTGTTTATTTCGTTAAATTTTATACAGTTTCTGCATTTTATTATATTTATTTAAAAATTTCTTCTATGTTTCATTTCTACTTATGGTATCTATCGTTCGCAAAGTGATAAAGGTTTTAAGGAGGGTTGAGTTTCATTGAACATCCAAAGAGAGGGGTTACCTGTTTTCTTGGGGCAAATTTGGTTTGTGTCCGAAACGTCATCAATGTCTGGCAGACGTACCCAACAAAATTAGTAGCGGCGTTCAACATTCATGTTTTAAAGACGAAAACTTTGGCTGCAACCTTGCTAGTACTTTACAACTCTTGTTAATAATTAATTTATTAGAATAGTTTGTTCTAGTAAATATCAACTAGCGCTCTTATAAAGAACTCTTGTGTAGGGAGTACTCATAAATGGGGATGGCCCATGTAAAATAAACACAATAGTTGGCACAACAACGGGCGTCAAAGATTCGTTTAATTTGACGGAGTCCCGCCTCTTTTGAGCACCTTTAAACGAGAACGATGTCATCGTTATCCTCACTTTTGTTAGACATTTCGACCTCTTCATTTATAACAAAATGGCAGTTTCTAAAATTGAAGTAAGGAACATTGCTAATGTAGTCTTATCAGAAATATTTTTCTTAGATTGCTTTGGGTAGATAGTTATATATAGTATCATTTCACTTTTTAATCCATAATTTAAACACTCGAGTCGATTTAGAACTTCACGACGACAACTTGGTGAATTTTGTTACTTTTGTTTGAAACTTCACCAGCATCGAGCATGCACACCGAGTGAAATTTGTACTCGACGACCGAGTCTCAAGGCATTTAACTCGTTCGACTTTACGAACATACCCATAAGATAGAGACCTCTTTAATTAGAATCCGGTTTACCAGAAATGAGGTTACGGACATACTTTTATTTCCTTTTTGACTCTATCCGACCCGGGAGTTAAAGACGGCCTTCTTTAAAACGGGGATCGGGCGGTCTGCCGACGGACGCGACACGTTCGGAGAGGTTTCCTTTCAAAGCACCGAATACGGCGTACATTTAAAGCCAAGCCGTGCCGTCATTACTCGGTCGACGTTTGGCTTAAATCGGCCCGTCCCGATCCCATAACACCCAGGACTTTAACGGCTTCGTCACTCGTCCTCCGACCTCGACGGACACAACGGAACAGAACGCGGCAACCGCGCGTGGCTTCCGCCGGCGCTTAGAGCAGCGGACGGTGGCCGTCCAGAGACGCCCGGGTTAACACCACTCCGGTGGGTTTCGGTCTGCGGAGCACGCGGTGAAAGGAAGAACTCACCTGGGCCAGTTCGGAGTTGAAGGCCCTGACTGCCAAGGCCGCCTCTCGCGCCTTCCGGGGCAACAGCAAGCAGCACAGGAAGTTCTCGTAGTCGTGTCTCCTGCAACGTCTGCCGAGGTGAGCAACGGACAAGGTGCGTAGGCATAAAGTAAGAAAGGAAATACCTGACCGTCTCCAGGCAGTATCGGGACGGACCCGCGGAACGGGAAACGCTTCGTCGACAGGCCCAAACCATTTCTCTGCCGACGGTCCGGCGAAGGACGGGGGCCGCCATCTTCTTTTCACTGCGCACCCTGGCGACAGAAACCGGAAGCCTCCGGCGGAGCGGAACGACCCCAGCGCGTCCGACGGAAAGAAAACGTATGGCCGGGAGTCGAAAGTCGTCCCGGACCAAAGGTGAGAACGGGTTCCGTCTTTCCGACGGGGGCGGAAGGTGGATCGGCCGCCTCCTTTTCCCAAGCGCCGCCAACTGCCGTTTCTACGCGCACGACGGGCGATAAAGTTTCTGGCGGGCGGGTGGATGCGCGGAAGAGAAATTTTTCGGGTCCGAATTAAAGGCCGGGGCGGAGAGCCTTTCGCATCTTGCTGACGGAAACAAAAGGAGCGCGGAAAGAACAAATGACTTTTCGGCCGCGGATTATTGGGAAGAAAGAGAATAAATTTTCTTTTCCGGGACTTTTTTCGCGGGATTCCCTGCACGTTTTTTGGCGGAAAGGGCGTGAGAAAGGGAAAGCGCCGGGGTTCCGTCGGGCGTCGGCCGCGCGTCGCGGTCGGTCGGCGCGTCTACCGGAGAGCGGATGGAGAATTACCGCGGCCAAATTTGCAGCCCGGACCCGGGACAGATGAAACGACGCCGGGCGCCTTCCGAAATCTTGGTAGCGGGCGGGAGAGAGAGAAACGTCGGCCTCGTTTTTGGAAATTCCATCGAGAGGGACCGGGGAGGGCAGCGACGATCGGTGCTATTTGGGGAGAAAAAGCGTAGGTAAAACGCCACCACGACAAAGTTTATTTTAACGCTGGGTTCAGGCGCTCTGCTTTTGACGTTTTCGATCCGGTCGTCTAGGTAAGGAGGGCCCTAAGCGTGTTCTGGGTTGGAGAGAAAAAATCGCCGAAAGTAAACGGCGGACGCTAGCGATTTTGGACGGAGTGCCGGTGGAAAGAGAGAAAGACGGAGGCATTTATTCCTTTAACAGGTTTTGCCGTTCGACGGTAATGAAATAATGAATTATATTTGTAATTTACAGAGAGAAATAATCGTCGTAATTTCTTTCCTCGGCATTCTGGCGCCACTTTTGCCATATTTCGGTCGGCCGCTTTCGCCTTGGACCAAAGCGGCCGTCCTTCGCACCTGCCGACGATAAGTAGACCGGTCGCGCCGTTCCGTCCGACCGGTTTCCGCCCGAGACGGACGGATTCTCCCGCCTCGGCCGCGAACTAATAGCGATTTTGCTTTGGCTTCCTCGGGCGGAGAAGGCAGCCGCCGTCCGAATGCGACAAGGCGCGACGGCGATTAGCGAAGAGACGACCGACGAAAGTGGGTCGAGGGCCACCTCTTTCCACCGGTCGACCTTTCTTTTTCCTTCTCGTCGCCGGGCAAATTCGGGTTTTTCTCCCGTTTCCTGCGGTAATTCAATAGGCGGCGACCTCTCGGTCCGCTTCCGCCGGCGGCAGCGGCGTAACCTTTGAGGATTAACCGTGATTTTTTTTCTATCTATCCACCTTTAAATAAAAATAATTCTTTATACGTTGGGAAATATTTTAATAAGTTTTGTAAATTACTATGTTCGATCCAGCCAGTTATATCCGATTTTTTTTCGTCTGTTAAGTACATCCTTTGAGGATTTTCGTAACATGTATAACAGCCTTTAAAAGCCATCCGCAGTGTGGGAGGAGGCTGGCCTTATTTAAAATAATAACCATTCTTGGCGCGGCACCGCGTCGTTCGCTGTGATCTGAGCCAAGAACTTCCGGTAATTAAAACGACGCTGGAAGAGCGGAAGACCGACGACTTCCTTCGTTTTCCCCGCGGTTCCTCCCTTCGGATCTCCGAGAACGAGAACTCGGCCGTCGGCGATCTGAAGAAGGAAAAACACGAAAATGGTGTCCAGTCTTCCCGCCGGTTTGTAAAAGTCGCCCGGGACGGAAAGACTATTTTCGTCGGAAACCATTCTTTTCTTTCTTTTCTTTCTACACAAAGGAAAGGTCGCGCGGGAGCGCGACCTTTCCTTTGTGTAGAAAGGGAGACGACGCGACGTCCGACGCCCGGGAAAAGTCGGCAGAATGAATCTCTTCGAATTTTGTCCGGTGCTGAGGAAATAGTTTATAACGGACGACGGAAAGACCGGCTCGGGCGTCCGACCTTCCCGGAGATTTCGGCCAAAGCCCGCGCCTTTCCTAATCGGCGGGAATGTCTCTAGAAGCCTCCGCGTCATAAATCGGACGCGGCGCGGAGGTACCGCTAACGGAATTTCTAGACGTCGACGTTGTCGACGGTTAATTAATGTGAGAGAAGGAACGGCCGGGCTATTACTTCTTTAAACCGGACCCATGGAGGGCTTTCCTTTGAGAAGAGAGACACACCCATTACCGTCACATTTCTCTTCCTCCTTCGATCCTCGATCTCGGGGAAGGCAAGTCCGAAAGCGCCCTGACCCAAAAACCGGAATTATTTTCCGGTGGGATTTAAAACGCCGACGTAACGAATAGTTTAGCTTGTTTTTTTTTTTTTTTTACTTCGGGTCCGTCGCTTCCAGTGGGACAAACGGAAGATTTGCGTCCGGTTTTAATTGGAAGTTTTACCGACGCGGCGGTATCGGCGGTAAAGGCGACTCCGCGCCGAAGAAGCCGTCGAAACGTCGCCACTTCTTGGGTTTCCCCTACAGAAATACGTTTAAGAAAGGCGACGGGCGGAACCCGGCGTGGCCACGGCGGATCTGGCTCCTGTTAGATTCGGGGCCGAAAGAAGAGAGTGGATTTAATCCATCGGGGGACAGAGAAAGATCGAAATTCGGTTATCGGTCCATTCGGAGGGACGGAATTTTCGCCTTTACTTTTCTCAATAAAATTTTCTGTTAATCTTGGATTTTTCCGTTGCAGATTGTTCCCGTCCCGCCGGACGGAAGTTCCCTTTCGATTTCGTGGCACGTAAGTATTCCTCTTTTCTCTGTGGCAAATGACTGTCAGCCGCGGAATGAATTCCCGGTTTCCTGCCGTAATTAGGAATACTTCGTTAATGTTTAATCTCCGACCGATTTCGTTTTCGCCTTTTATGGTGGGAGCCAATTATGTGGACTTTCGTTTTTTCGCCCGTCGGGATATTTTCTCCCTCCGAAAGGAAAATCGGGAAGGCCTACGCGCGCCGAATAAAAATTTTCGGTTCGTTCTTTTCCGGTTCGGCGCCACCGGAAGAGTTTAAAGTGTACTTTCCGCGGTGGGTAATTGTCGGCAAAAGTAAATAACGAACGTTTCTTCCGTAAAATAATTCGTCGTAGTTTTAATTATTGGAGGTAGCACCACCGGGCGCGTTATTGTCCGTCGTCCGTAGGAGAATGGACGATAAGACTTTGCCCGTAAACCTTTCTCCTCTCCAATCGAATGGCAAGTTTGGCGAGAAAGTCGTAGAGAACGTTAAAATCTTTCCGATTGGATCATTTCTACGATTTTCCGTTCTTTAAAAATCGAACTCTTACTCCAGAAATTCGTTACCGTTCTTTCGGTTCTAACAAGTAAGTTTAAGTGAAGCCGGAGGACGCATTTAACGATAATTAATTGGGAGAAATTAGATTGTTGTCAAATGATAACCGTAACGAGTATACCGCCGAACCGAAATATATTGTCGTTCTCGACCGACTTTTTCGGAAAATTTAATCGGGGAGCTTCGGCCCTTCCCATCCATACAGGAAAAAAAATAATTAAAATTTAACACGTGACATTTAACTATTAAGATAAATATTGCAGGTTTATTTTATCCCTTTCTAATTTATCTTTAACTTAATTAATTTAATATGTAAAAAAATGTTAAACCTGAGTGTTCTGCGATGGTCGTAGGTATTTGTATTTACGTAATTGTGGACGAAGAGGGTCTAGCGGAGACGGGAATGCATGCCACAAATAAAATTAGTCTCCTTTCTTGATGTCCTCACCATTTTCTTACTTCCGTTACGGTTCGATAAGCCCGGTTCATCTCCATTGGTTATCCAGATAATTAATTATTTAATTTAAAAATGAAGTTATTTGTTCTAACTAGAAAACATTTGCCATGGCAAATACGGTTTTGTCGGATCGTCCGGCACCCGTTAGCAAAAGGTCCTTGGAGTTAGTTATTGGAATGTTTTAAATTTGGAATCGGTCCCCTTCGGATTCTTCCAGAGTCGAGCATTGGAAACAAGACGATAAAATTCCATCGTAAATACATATTTTTTTTTCTTTCGGCCGTCAAATCCATTTAAACAAATACGGAAAGAAGTTTAGATAAATTACGAATCTAATAGTGAAATAGAGTATATCGTACCGGACGTTTAAACATCGGCCTTTGCGCTCTCCGTAACGTAAGTGAAGTTTTCGGTCCTTTCCCGGCCAAGCAATTCTTTTGAACTTTGATTTCGGTAGGTCGAACGACCTTCGGATTTTTTAAGCGTGTCTTTTTCTAAAATTCGTTTCTCGCCTCGGATCTGCCCACAATCCCCAATACCCGCGTTTGTTTGGCCAACGTTTCGACTTTTTACAATTGATGCGCGATAAATTGACGGCCGTCGAAAATAGTAATTTCCGTCTTCGATTTTCGGTAATGTTGGCTCTCCACGCGCGATTCGATCGCCTTCCGGTTAGAATCGCTTTCGAGTATTTTGGCGACATAGTTGTGGGACAACGTATATTTTCGCCCGGCGATTCTGTGACAGCCAATCGGCAGGCGGCACCGTAATTCCAAGTGTAGGCGACGTGACTTTTTTACCCGTCATTCTTAACACTGTGTGCGGCGTGGTGCGGAAATTTCGAAAAACTGCAAAAAATAGCAAATATTAGATTTTAAAAAATTAAGTACAAAACTAAATTGAAAAATATAAAACTTTATTTTAAGTCGAAAGTTTTGCCGTCGTTTAAAAAATTCGCATAATTCGTTGTAAATCGCCTTTGGTGCAAAGTGTATAGGCACGTAGGGCAGCGATTGCATCGCTATACGAATCGTCGGGTGACGTTTAGAAGAAAGTTTTGACATAGTCGGCAAGCGTACTTCGGCATTACGGAGAAGCCGTAAAACGCCGCCCGGCTACTTTTATTCATTATTTATGGTAAAGTAAATAATGAATAATAAGGATGTGCCAAATATAAACTCTCTTCATGTACTCCTTCATACCTCTATGCTGGTAAGAACATCGGGCAGTACGATTTTATAAACAAGACATGGTCTTGTCAATAATAAGAAAATGAACAGTGGAAAATTCGACGATGAATTTACAAGAAAAAGACAATTCTATTTGTGGAGAGAATTAATTGAAAAATTAATTGTGTATTGGAGCTAAAAAATCCGTTGTGTAATGGAAAAAGTATATTAATTTAATCTTTTTTCATATAGTTTTCTTCCTTGATCTATTTCTTAAATTGTTTTGTTTATTAAGATTAATTAATCAGAACTTAACACTTCTGATTAAGAAATAATCTTAATATAGTGTCTATGCTCTTAATAATTTATACATATAATTTACTATCATTTTAATACTCTTTTTCGATGAATTAGATACTTCTTTTTATTTTTGGAAAAATTTGCTGTATAATTTTATCAATTATGAATTAAAATTTTTTTTATTAGTGTTGACTTGACACGAAAAGAAATGGCATCTACTCGTGGTCGAAAAATTCGTTGCCTTCTTAAACAACTCTTTCGGCTCTTTCTAACGCTTCGTTGCGTTCAGAATAGCGTATCCGTCAGCCATTTTCACTTTCGTGTAGCGATTTCACATGCTCAAATCAACGTGAGTAGCAACTCACGTGAGTTAGAACTCGAGACTACCGATTTGACGTCAGAGTGTGAGATGATACCACGTGACACCTTCAGCACGTTGGGAGTTGTAACACGAAAATCTCGAGACTAAGGGCCAAGGACTCGGTACTACTAGTAACAGCTCCACACCGAGTGTCGAGACAGACCATGGGCGTCGATAGAAAATTTTCCAGGGGGAAAAACTTGGAAACAAATAATTACATCAAAAATTTTTTTATTTCATTATTTAATTTTTTGCAGTGGCATGTTGTGACATTTGATGATAGGGAAGCTGTGTTTCTGTAAGAAGCCAACATCCAGGGGCAATCAGTTAATTGCGTGTCAGTGATGGTCTAGGGCAGGGGTGGCCAAAACGTGGCGCATGCGGCAAACTTGGCGCATTGGACGACTACAAGTGGCGCTTCAGTCGGTTCCGAGCAACATTGCCAGATTTGGCTTCATTGCAATTATGAATATTACATAGGAAATTAATTTTTTACAGTGTGTCTTGGCAAGTGTATTTTTTTACACAATTCGGTGCAATCGACCTGTTGGCCTTTTTGTTTTTTTTGCTTGTACGTTACACGATGCATTCGTGTTCATGTACACCACTGATGTCATATAGAACTATTTTACACGGGTAGCTACACTACAACCGCATTTTTCATTGCTTGTTCTGTGGCAAATCTGAATTTTCGTCTTATAAATTGAAATACCTAAATAAGGGGTGGCCGAAATTTTTCTCTGCCCCGGGCTGCTAACACTCACGGTACGCCACTGCGCATATGAACTCGTCTATCAAAAAATTGGCGCATGGTATGCAAAAGGTTGGCCACCCCTGGTCTAGGGTCCATTCGTATCGTTTATTCGATAAGCCAGTAAAAACCGTAGACTTCTCTGAATGTATTTTTAATACCACAATTACATTCCGAATCACTAGCCACGATATAAGGGCTACAATTAAAAATTAAATAATAAAAACTTTCTTAGTGAAATAAAATGTATGGTAAATATACATACTTGATACAGAAGATTCTTCAATTGTATGAATATACTTTTAAAGAAAATTATAATTAAATATAGCTTTGTAAAAAAACGTACATAAAAATAACATAAAATCTTCTTTACTTTTTAAATCTTAAAACAATCCACTTATCAAATAGCTCCTTACGAGTGGCTAATGGATGCAATCTGAGATGGTTGCAGTGCGTGCATACACGTGGACCGCCAAATCCCCAGAGTGCCGATACCGGTCAATGTCAAATACCTCTTTTGTCGCATCACTAATATACCTGAAAGGACGCAACAGGGTTGTTGTAGATTTTAACGTTTCACACCATAGCTGTAAAAATATAAATACTGTATGTTAAACTTAATAGTCATTTGTTTTCTAACTAATTCGTTTTAGGACCAGGTGTCCACGGAAATTTCCAAAATTTACAAGTTTTCGGTCACTCTCGTCGAACTGGAAAAGTTTCTGTCTTTATTACATCTAATATTAGGAAGAAATCAGTCCCCACTATACTCGGCTAGAGATTGGTTCGGTTAAGCTTTTGTTTAAGTAAAATTCCGGCTCTTTCAGCAGGATTTTATTTATGTCCCCAATTCTCTAATCTCTTAATTATTTAACTACTTCTTAAGTAGAAATAAGTCGAAACCGGTTACTTTGTACTCGAATATTTCTAGTCTTGGGAAAAAGTGGAAAGACAAATTTTTATGACAACGGATACTTAAATCGTAAATTTAAGGAAAATAAATTCTAGAGCTTTTTCTGTACCTGGTGCATCTCTCTCATTCATTAAATTTAGTTGTAAATGATGCTGTCAAAGTAACAGTTCATTTTTTAACATTGAACAAGAACTGTACACGTTTTTCCTGCATTCCTTTATAGATGGGGCATACGAAATCGTAATATCACTGGTTTAACATTGAAATCTGTAAGTAATATAAGATGGGAGAGCGGAATAAAAATATCAAATATTTTAATGGATTTTTAAAAATTCTTGCCACTATACAGAACTATCATAAAAACATACCAGTAAATTTCTGTCGGTTGGAAAAGTTATAAATCTAATCGCGATTCACATAATGGAGCGAGGGCAGCCAAATATCTAGCAGGTAGGCGACTAACAACCCGGATAGAATCATTGGAAGCGTTATATGTGTGTAGCTTCCACCAGCTAAACGGCGTGAGGTTGGTGCTCAAAAGCACATAATGGAGCGAGGGCAGCCAAATATCTAGCAGGTAGGCGACTAACAACCTGGATAGAATCATTGGAAGTGTTATATGTGTGTAGCTTATTATATGTATACATGTTTATTATATTACATTATTATATGTATGTGTGTAGCTTATTATATGTATACATATAACACTTATATGTATAATCTGGCTGTTTGGAAACTGACCCGGTTTTGACAATACAGCGCTTTCATTCCGCCACTGATATTCGAATATACAATAGCAATCTTATCGTTTTTTTCACATAGAGTATAGAAATTTGTAATAAGATATTTTATTATAACCGCATTATGTATTAATTTTAATTAATCCAAAATATGCTAAAATATGAAAATAATCGCACAATATGTATTTATTTTTTTAGAAAATACAAGGGAAGCGGCGCTTCCACCGCTTCCAATGACGGCCCGCCACTGATTTTTTGGCTTTTCTCACAAGTAGATTATAGAATACAAAAAGACAGGCAAAGCGTCCCGTGGTGAAGGGCGTAGGGTTACGTGTCTCGATCTTGACTTTTACCGTATAATCGTCACTTTTTACTGGATGGCAGTGAGAGACAGGTGTTCGTCTGACCTCTTCTGCGGAAGCTCACAGTCGAGACAATTCCGGTGGGAACTACTAACGCCTTCGTTCGTTTACGAATACGGATTTTCACGGAATTGTTTATCTGCATTCGAACTTTAGTAAACGAAAATGTTCCACGAGTTTTTAGGAATAATGAAATTAGTTTTGAGTATTTTAAAAATTTATATTTTTATTAGAGTTTGGTATTATTTGTTTTATTAGTAACTGGCAAATATGTCCGTCATTACCCGGCCAAAAAATAAGATAGCTAAACGTTAAAATGAAAACCATATTATAAATTTGGTTATTTAGCCTAGAGTTATTATATTTATCACAAAGTGTCAAGGAAATCAAATCGGGGAAGAATGGGATGCCCAGATTTCACGGTAGTCTATATTTTTCTCAGAATTCCAGAGAATAAGTATGAAAAATTTGGTGCAGATCGGACAAAGGGCTTAGGAGCTAATAAGGGACGTTGAAATCAGGAGAGGGGGTAGGGTGTCCACTTTCATTACAGTTTATATTTTCCTCAGAGTCTGAGTTAAGCAAGAATAATTTGGCACAGATTGACCAAAAAGCTAAAAACAGAGAGACACAAACATTCTATTCTTCGTTTTAGCTTTTTCTCATGTTTATATTGGGTAAGCATTCCCATCTTTAGTCTGTCTTCTCTACTTCTCTCTATCCAGGGCGTATTCTCTCTTCCATCCTCTCTGNCTTCTCTACAAAAAACTAAAATGTTTTATTAAATAATAATTTATCCTGTTATTAACTCATAACTGTAAAACTTCATAGTTTTGAAAAAAAGAAAAAAGCCGTTAATTATTATTAATTAAAAGAATTCAGTATAATCCACGTAGAAAAGTATAAAGTTATTAAATTTGTCTTTTAATAAATTTTCCAAACTTTATAAAATATTAATAAACTGGGAAAAAGTTTCAGAAATCAGAAATTGTTTTGTTATGTGATCAATATTATTAAAATGAAAAAATGATAAATAATAGCATTTGATTAAGTTACTTATCATTTTTGGTTCGTTATCATTTTTTTCCCATCAGTTCATTAACATCTTCCCTCAAATTGAAAGTGTAAATTGCAAGAGATAAAAAATTTTTGAAATATTTTAACTTTCTATCAACATTAGATTATTAAGAGTATTGGATTTTTCTCTCAAACTTATAATACTGCATAATTAATACAGCAGTTTTAAAATCTAAAAGTATTTTAAAATTGAAAAATAACAATTGATATTGTTGTATGCTTGTATATTTTGTGTGCTATAATTTTAGGGAAAATTTTGGGATCCTGAAAATATTCTGCGCTCCCTTTTCATAATTGCATTGTACCACAATACTTCTGGCTGCCTGCAGACAGTTATACTTGGTCAGTCATGCTGTCAGCAAACAAAAACAACAAGGCAACCAAGGAAACAAATCCCTGATTTTTCCTAACTTTTTGACAATTTTTAACAAATTCCGACTTTCCATGACTTTTTCGGAACACTAATGTAAATCCCTGATTTTTCCTGACTTTCCAGGTGCGTAGGAACCCTGTATATATAACAGAGGGGAAGGTAAAATGGGCCATTATAAATATTCTATTTTTAAATCATTAGTCTGGTATTAAAAGTAATGACAAAATCTAAAGTCGGGTCACGTCATAGGCCATTAACCAATAATATGTTAAAGTGTAAAAAAAAACGTGCTATTATTTTATAATTACTCGAAATTTTTAAATAAAATATTCAAAAGGACCAGAAAAGAGCTATTCGGCATAGGCAGACTCCTAGATTGTTCGCCAGCTCGGCGTGGCTATTCTCCCCGGTTGTAAATGTAGGCAGAAGCCACTACGGCGTAAGTCCAAAACCATCCAATGAATTTACCGAAAATTTCGCAAGTCCAAGGTACTCGTAGCGGGCACTAAATACTTTAAACTCAATCCAAATTGGTTCGTCGGTCTCGGAGATATTAATTAACAGCCAAACTTGGCACTTTAACATTACATTCTTGTTTGTTTGTTTAATTAAGTTATGGCATCGCAACACTTGGGCGATCTGCCTAAAGGGATGTCTTCCGGGAGGTCTTTTTAAGGAAAACTGGCCCCTATTTAGGCGTTACAGACATGGAGAAAACCCGAAAAACTCCACTTGGCCAGCCCTTCCGAGCGAGGCGCGAACCCATGACCGAATTTCCAGTGTTCAGGGAACGAAGACCGCTTGGCCACTGGTGGGCCTCCAGTTCTATTATAGAGGGCCACGACGCTTACCGTACTTACGGTCGCGCTGCTTTCCGTTCTTATATCGCCGATAGCGGGTGGACGAGAACCCAAAGGAGACTAACTCAAAAATTACAAATATTTCGGAAATTAATGAGGACCTATTTATTAACGCGCGTGCCACCATCGTATAAACCCCGGCGTACGCGGATATTTGCCATGGTGCCGGTAAATGCTCTTAAAAGTAGCGCTTTGCAGTAGGAACAAATTTTAAATTCTTTTTGTCGTACCCGACGTAAAGGTTCCGAGGAAATACCGACAAATATGTACAGTACAGTACAAAGTACAGTGAAAACTGCTTAGGCGACCACCTTCATTCGACGGGTGCCTGTCAAAACGGGCAAAAATTTCTGGCACGGAATAGTTTATCCATAGAGTCTTCGTATAAGTTACCTGTATTAAACGACCACCTGTGTAACGCGACCGCGGGCATCGATTTTTGGTCCGAAACAACATACAACACCTGTAATAAGCGACCACTTTCGCGAATGTATCTGGTCTAAACTATTGTAAGAACCCATCTCAACAACGTTTCCACCTCCTAATATAATGAATTAGTCTAAACTCTCGTTCGAACCCATCCCGGGCACTTCTCCCACCCTTGAAATTAGGTGCAGGTGTTAATAAATTAGTCTAGCAACAAAGGAAATTCATTTCAGTTTGTTGGAAAATGTCCGAAATGCAAAGTGCTGTCGTTAGAAGATCGTATTAAAGTTATCACAACAGCAATTAGCGGCGAAGTTTAACTGTGGGAAAACAAAATTTATTTTACCCTAGACCTACAGTATTTTCCTTGGGGGTGTAAAATATTGTACACGATACAATTAATCGGCTGATCTCATCGTTTGATAAAATCTATTTTTATTTATTTATTTTGAAGCTCATATACAGTACACGTGCGATAAATAGTTTCTGTATCAACCTACCTTATTTCCACGATATTTTTAGAAAAATAATATCCAAGTAATTTTCGCAGGCAAAATATTCAAAAAACAATAAACGCATTAATGCAAAAATCAGTTTTACTTCCTTTTTCGATTCCGCGATTGTAATGAAATCGTATAATGAGAAAAAATAATAAAATCGTTTTATTATTAATTAATAATTTTTCTTATTGTACTTAATTAATTAAGAAAATATTAAATATTAAAAAATACAGTATTTTTAAAGTTAAAATAAGATTAAACTAACGAAAACCAAAAGCAAAGTGATGGAGAGATAGGACGCGCTTGTATATTGATGACGTAATACACGTAACTGAGGAGCGAACGAAAAGAACCGAGTCGAATTAATTAAGTCGGAAAAAAGAAAGTGTGCATTATAATCGAGAAAATGCGAGTATTGTATTAATCTTTAAAATATTGGTGTTAAATCTGTCTTATAATATCATGACGACTCCTGTAAATCGGGTTATCCGATAAGAATAAAATACAATACCAATATAGCCCTATCGTTGAAAAAATTCGCTTATTTTTGCTCACCTCGAGTTTTGCTTAGTAGAAATGGCTAAAAAGTGCGCAAAATACGTACGGAAATACGGTATTACAGCACCACCTGTATTGGACGACCACCTGTCTAAAAGACCATTTTTTGAAGGAACCGTGGGTGGTCTCCATAGACAGGTTTTACTGTATTTAATTTCACCACCGAAGATTAGAAATCCATCGTCGCCACTCCCACGCTTTCCTTAACTAATCCAGTAGAAACTGGTTATTTTTACGGCTTTTATATATAACAGAGGGAAAGTACGGCGACGGGTCAAAAAGTGACACCCCGAGATTTTACATTTTTGGACTCGGGACACTTTAAAACGTCGAGAAATCAAAACATTGGGGTTTTTCTCTTGTACGCAGGCCTACGGATATTAGTGTGTGTGGCCCGATCGGTGGGGAGAAAAGCACCCGACTGACGCCTGCTTATTTTCTCTTTACAGCTTGCCCGTCCGGCGGCAGGCCGACGAAATCTCCCGGAAAAGCAGATCGGTGCCGTCTATCGTCCAGCGCGGGACCGATGACCGGACTTTGGACACTGTCGTGGGTGGTGGGCGTGTGGGTGGCGGCCGCTCTTCCCGACGGAGGTGAGCCCCCGGCCCTTTCCCCACCGGCACGTCCCGCTCTAACACCCTTTCTCCGCAGATCTGTGTCGCCGAATGAACGGAAGGAAGTATTACGTGGAAGCCGGGGACGGCGGCGTAGTCACTCTCCGGAACCTGACCGCTGGAGAGGGTCTCCCCCGCCGCTGCGGAGCGGAACTCGTCACTCGGCCGTCCTGTCACCTGACACTCACCGTCCTGCACCTGAACGTGTCCCCCTGCGGCCCTGACGGTTCCTGCGGGTGAGTCTCCTGTCTTCTCTTCTTCCTCGGCTTTTCCAATTTATTAACCGACACTTTCGATCCCGCTAAAGTGCTTGACGCTTTGGCGGGATCGAAAGTGCGAGAATTCTGTTTATTTTTACGAAACTTACCATAGCAAAATACGAACGGAGGATGGCGAAACTTAGAAATAAATCCCGGAAGTGTGGAAAGGCCAGTCGATAAAAGTAATATAAAACCGCGCTGTTTTCGGCAGACGTAACCGTGGAAATTAAAAGTTAAATAGACCGGGACAGAGTTAGCTCGCAAAATGTAAATTTAAATATTTCGTAATAAGTTTCGAAAGTTTCCCACTTAATAGCCGCGTACTTACCTATAGACATGTCAAACAATCGCTATTATAAATAAATAGGCTAGAACGCCAGGGTAGATGGGCCCAGATCAAGACTTGAGGCATTTCGGCAGTTTTGGACAAACATGTAATGTCCCTCGGCCACCGATAAATTCTGTTTTCGGACATTTTTCTGGTAGACGCCCGCTATTGTTTATTCTTTCTTTCGGGAGGGTGGTTTCTCCCGACGAAAGAACCAACGATATTTTAGTTAAAGTCACGGAGGAATCTCCCACGGGTCGGTGGTTTTTTGCAGGTGCGACTACCTGTGGATCAGAGAGCCAGCCTACTCGCAGTCCGGAAGGGAGTTCTGCGGATTCTTCTCGGACCCCGCCACCCGGATCTACCAATCCGAGACCAAGACGGTGTCGGTGGACTTTCTGTACAGCCGCTCCTACTCGGACGCCTTCTCTCTGCGCTTCGCCGCCCGAGGTGAGTACTCCCGTCCTTCTCCGCCGCTCTCTTCCCGCCCGATCTCAACTTTTCCGCCGCGAACAGAGAACCTGTATCGAATGACCGGCAGTCATCTGGACGGTCCTTCGGAAGCCGGCGGAATTCTGTCCTCGCCCTTCTTCCCCGCCTCCGTTCCCGGCGACTACGCCGCCGAATTCGTCTTAACAAACCGACAACCCGACGGATTCGTCCAACTGCTCTTCGTCGACTTCCGACTCTCGTCCCGATCTCGCCTCGAGGTTCGTCTCTCTTTCCTCCTCCTCTTTTTCTTCCTCCCTTTTCCGTTCCTCACCTCCTCCTTTCACCGCAGCTGTACGACACCAACGGCACCAGGATCGACCTGTACGACGGAAACGTCTTCCGCCCTCCGGCCGTCTCCTCTTCCGGACCCACCCTGGGGGTGAAGTTCCGGTGCGACGAAGAACGACCCTCTTCTGGATTCAAGGCCGAATATTCCTTCGTTAACTGTAAGTATTTCTTCGGGGTGCGGGCTCGTTCGACCCTTCCTCTAAACCTTCTATTCGCAGATCCCGACAGATACTGGTCCGGCAAGCCGGTCACAGGTGAGTAGAAAAGCGGGGCGAGGGGCGGGCCGGACCGCCTTCCACCCACGCATTTTTCTTTGCAGACTGCGGGGGACCAGTGGACGACTTCGGAGGAGCCCTGACCTTGGCCAACGCGGCCGAAGGAACGAGCCGGCGCCCTTTCGACTGCGTCTGGTTGATCCGACCCCCATCCGGCCACCGCGGCCACACCCGTCTGGCCGTCCGCCTGGCCCAGTTCCGGGACTTGGGTGAGAACTTGCTTCCGTCGCTCCTCTCCCCTTCTTTGGCCGGAATTAACCGGGGAGTGGGTGTTGCAGGAGCGGAGTCGTCTCTGGAGATCAGAAGAGGTCTGACGTCCGAATCTCCCCTGTTGGAGGCCATCTCGAGTGGTCGACGACGCAAGAACTCTCGAGGTCGCGAGTACGTGGTTCCCTCCTCCACGGGATTCTACATTCGCTGGAGGGGCTTCTTGGGCAATGCCTCCTACCTGGCCATCACCTACGTCTCCTTCGCTTACGATGGTAAGGATTTTCAATCGGGAGCCGGTCTCCTACCGATATAACGGTAATCGTAATCCGTACGACGTAAAGACCACGCGTTTACGGCGATAATTTTCCCCAAAATACAAATTTCGAAACCTTTAAATTCGCCTGATGGCCAACTCGCGGGTAAGGACGAGGATGGCCATTACGGGCATTTGGTCGAAAATTCTTTGTTTTCGAGGAAAGGAGGAAGAAAGTCGGACGGACCGTATTAAGTATTCCGTCGTGACTGCGACTCCGCCACTCAAAACAATTCTGTGGCGAGTTCTAGCGCCGAGGAACGATCTTTGTCGTTCCTCTCGGGACGAACTCGTCCAGAATAACTTCAGTTTAATATACGGACAATATAACAGAGCTTGACCCGGACTGCGCGCGCAGGGCTTGGCTCATGCTTTTGAGGGACAGGCGAGGTGGATCGATAAAATCGACGGTCCCAGTAAGTAAAATGGGCCTTTATCAACCCGAGTATTTATAATAATAAAATTGCAAAACACAAAAAATTGCCGACTCCACCCGGCTAATCCGAAGCTCCAGCAAGCTAATTGCCAGTTCGTTGGAGATAAAGTTCGTTCCCAATAACGTAAACGTCGAACGACGGCATCATTGTTATAAACACTTAAAGCCTAAGAAAAATAAAAGTAATATATTTAAACAAAAGATGGAGAATCGATTTAAAAAAAAATAATGAAAATATTCAAACATTGGCAAAAAATGCAGGAACGGTTAAAAACGAAATCGGTAGACGGCGCGTTTCCCCGTAGACAACGTCGTACCTCTGCCACTTCCAAACCTGGCACCTTTCTCGAATCTGTGTTCGGCGGCATCGTCTACACGATGAGAACTTTAATTCGATATCCGAACCGTATTTTTAGATCCGTTCATTCAATCAAACCGAATCGGACGAAACCCTCTCGATTAATACGTAGATACCTTTATCTTTATTTACAGTAGACGCTGAGTGGCTAAAGCCATCCGACACCGGTAGCGGGTGGAGTTTTCCGGGTTTCCTTTACGTTCGTAACATGTAAATAGGGGTCGGTTTCCCTTAGTCCTCCCCGGGAAGACAGCCCGCGCGTCGCGTTGCCGCATAAAAATAAACCAATCTTTACGAATAAATTTTGCGACTTTTGTTCTTTATAAATTACGTTGCGCCGCCATCGATGCGGCTAAGCTTATAGTTTGGCCCGTTAAAACGCATCCGAAAAAACGCTGTCTTACCAACGGAAAGCGAATTTCCAGACCCAGGCCGAATTTCGGCGCAGCTCCTTTTATTTGTAATAAAGCGACGAAAGACTTAAGTTCTCTTAGGAATCGACGAATATTGCACTTCGACGGGATTTCGTCACAATTGAAATTTGTTTTTTTTTTCCAGATTGTTACAAGAGGGGAGACTTCGAATGCGGAAACGGCAGATGCATTAAGCACACGCTGAGGTGCGACGGTTTCAATCACTGCGGAGACGGAACCGACGAAGCCACCTGCTTGGGTAATTACGGGGACAGGGAAGGCGGGTGCGGGAAGGACAAGGGCTAACGTAGTGTTCGACTTGCGCAGGTAACGACGGGGCAGCGTTTAACGCCGAAGAAGCCGGAAGATGGAGAACCATGACTCCCAACTACTACTATCCCAAAGCCGGCCTTTCCAACGGCACCGGAACCAACGCGCCCATCCTGGTGGTGGGTCTGGCCGGACTGGCGGCGTTTATTTTGACGGCGGCGGTGGTACTGGTGAAACTGGGCAGACGACGACGAGAGCACTCCAGCCCGGAAGTTTTACGCACTGTCGGCGGAGACCCAGGTGAGTTTTTAGGGCGAGAAGAGAATTTTCTACCAACTTACTTCCCAATACTAAAGAACGTTCCACGGTTGCAGACGGGGCGAATATCTCCGAGAACGGAACGGCAGGCACCTCCGACCCTCCCAGATACGACCCTCCTCCTTCGTATGAAGAGGCGGTAAAGTTTTATCTGCCCCCTCCGCCCGCTTACCACCCTCCGGCGGGAACGGACGACCGTCGTCTTTACGAGGACCGGGCGGAAGGTTACGCCAATTCTGCCTTCGTCTTCGACGGTCCGGACGGGCGCGCAGACCTCCCCGGAAGAGGAAAAGCCTCCGGCGGGGAGACCGACACCCCTCCGATTCTTCCGCTCTTCCGCGGTGCACGACCGACGGAAGACGAAAAGAGGCCCGAAACTGGAAGAGACTCCGGCCCGGCGCCTTCCTCCTCTTCCTGTAACTGTCCGGGAGCGTGTTCGTGTCCGGCCGTCTACTTCGGAGAGGCGGGCAAACTCGCCGGCCACCCGGGACAATGCGAGTGTCGGGCCAAGAGACGGAAGCTGCGCAGGTTTACTTCTGTCCCCTTGGGCCGAAGTCTGGCCAATTTCAGACGATTGAGAAGGTTTCGGACGGAAAAAGACCCCCGGAAAGCTTCAGACGTTTCGGCTGTGGAAAATCGTCGGAGTGGAACGGGGTGCAGGCGCCGCGGAACGCAAAAGCGTTCCGACATTTGCCGCGGAGTGCTTAGCGCCCAAGCCACGCGGAAGGAGTTTAACCGGTGCCGGAATCCGTCCCCGGCGGAATTACCTACGAATTCCGTTCTGTCCGGCGAGGCGGACGACGACCAGACCCGACGTCGGCGTCGCCACATGATTTGAACCTTTCCGCCCGGTGGGGAAGGCGGAAGACGGCTCCGTCCTTCAAGTATATTTATTTAGAGAATTATTCGACCGGAAAAATTGGCGGTAGCGCCACGTCTTTTTCCGCCGTATTTTTGTAGCCGCCACCAAAGAAGGCGCGACCCGTGTAAATATTTTTATTATTAAAATATTTTACAAATTTTTACAAACGCTTGGAGGATCATCTGGTTGCCATGTAACCCGCGTTGTCGCCGTAGTCTATGAACGTCAGCTTGGGGGAGTGGACGTTAGCCGTGGCCGGATACTTGGTTCCAGCGATGTCGATCTCGAAAGTGTTTTTCGTCACGTAATCGCCAGTTACCGTTTCCGCAACTCCTTCGTCGTTCACTTTGGTGACGAAACCCAGGCACACCTGAAATGTTTACCCATAGGTTTGACTTCCGTATTCGACGGTAAGGGACATCCGTAAACAACGTCCACACTGGATGGGGAGGGTTTTACGGAAACTGGGACGAGAGGGGAGGAGTAAAAATTTCGAGAAAAATGTGGACGTAATTTACGGACGGCCCCTAATCCGTCGGCTCCGGCTTACCTGTTTTCCCAGAGTGAATCCGTATCCGGTGGTGGTAGTCATTCCCACGCACTTATCATCCAAGTAGATGGGCTCCTGTCCCCACGGCCACAGATCGTAATCCGGATCGTGATCTTCCATCACCAACTGCACGTAACATCGTTTTATACCTTCGCTCTTCTGCCGGAGAAGAGCTTCCTTGCCGATAAAATTCGGCTTCTGTGGATGAAAGACGAGGTTATTTTTATCGCCGCCAGTTCTACTCGAACCGACGAATAGGAACGTAATTACGGACGACGTCCGAAGACCGCGGAAGTTTTCCGTTTTAAATTTACGTAACGCTTTTGTTATAAAGGTGTTTACGTCGCTTCCGTCCTTCTACAGACGCGCGTATATTCTCCGTCGATTCCGGATTTAAAATTTGGAAAAAAAACAATTAAAACAACGGAATAATTGGAAAAAGTGAACTTAATGGTATAAAGACGTGATTGGACGAATATCTTTTTACATCGAGACGGTTAATCGAAACCGAACGACCACTTTTTAAAATACAGGTAACCCCCGTATAACACGGCACTTCTACAGCACGGATTCACTCTGACACGGTTCGAGAATTGGGTAAAACCCTCGTACAACAGGAAATGTAATAAATTTTTATATACTTAAGTAATTTGTAATTTGTAAAAAAGGGTGAGAGAGCTGTCGGTCTTTTAGCTGACTGACTTAGCTCGTTTAGATAGGAAACGGAAAGAAGGTTCGAAGTTAAGATGATAAGCAGAAAGAGGAAGTTAGATAGATAGGAGAGAGGAAGGAAGTGACCATGGGTTCCATGGGCGCCAGAAATGCCTCAACACACTAAGTAAAACAAAATATAGTTACAAGGTCTAATAATAGCATGGAAACCATATAAACTATATACTTAAGTAATAATAGTTCACGAAAATTATTATTTTCGTGAACTATTAGTACTTAAGTATGTAAATTTTCTCTTCTCGCCTTCTGTCGATACACGTGGTCCTTCTCGAAACGTGTTTCAATGTTGCCAGATCGCGACGCTTCTGCTTCTGCTGTTGCCGAATGTTTTCCCTTTATTCCATACTTGCTTTATTCTTCATAAGTGCTTAGCACCATATAAGGAAATTTATAAAGACCTTTTAACTAGAAGCAAGCAATCTAAAATTACATACATTTTGCAAAAGGTAAAGCATGGATCTGAAGATAATGCAGAAAAATGCTCAGAGGATAACGATAACTTGCCAAAAAGAAAACGCTCTCGGTTAATTAGTAGTGTTTTTAGTGATGACGAAGAAAACATTGTTTAATTTATATTAATATGTATCACTTAAAAAATTTTAATGAAGATATTTATCTTAATTATGAAAATATACTAGCATGATTTTTAATTTTTGGAACCTAACCCTTCTTTTCGTATTAGTTCTTTGTTTCGTATAACACGGATTCGCATAACACGGCAATTTTTTGGAACGTAACTACCGTGTTATACGGGGGTTACCTGTCCTTCTATCGTAAAGTTTTAGCCGGAAGAAACTAAATTAATACAACAATGTTCGTTACTGTGTTTAAATCGTGTTTTTTAAACCAAAAGAAATGATTGGAGAGGGCCGACGGCTAGAATGTTCGTTCCACTCGCCTAAACCCGAAACGTGCGTAAACGTCGGACAAACATTATCCAATACGGGAAAGAGCAAACTTCCCTAACTATTGTATATAACTCTCGATTTCAATAACAATTCCATCGATCGATCGATCGAGCTAATCTTCTACTCGTATCCTTACCGTTACTTTTCCTCTTTTTAATTCCAACCACCGATATTACTTACGTTAAAATTAACTCTAAAAGTTCTTCCGCATTCTAGTGGCGTGGTGGTCGTATCTAAATCTTGACCCCAAAACGCGTAGAACTTTTCGATCCTTAAAGTTCTCATGGCGTATAAGCCGGCGTGACGAATTCCGTATTTTTCTCCGGCTTCTATCAGTCGATCGTAAACATGAAGGGCGTACTGAGGAACCAAGCGAGAATTTTAAAGATATATCATAATAATAATCATAATATATATATATTACGCTCGTACTTACTTCGTTTGGTATGTAAAGTACGTAGCCTAGTTCTCCCGTGTGAGTAAGATTCATGACTCGAATTCCACTAGCTAAGCCTATGTTCAATTGCTAAAAACCATTGACGTTATATCGTATTATATATAAACTTTAAAGGCAATTATATCAATATATAAACTTTTTACCTTGTGAGTAAAGAAAGGAAATTCTTGCGGCGTCAGGTTGCTGTCGGTCAATTCGGTCAGCAGATTCCGGGAACTGGGACCCATCAGACAGATAGCGGTGTACATGGAAGTGACGTCGGTAACGGAAACCGTGCTATCCGCCGCCAAGTTACGTTTGATCCAGCTCTGGCATCTGGTCTGCTGGTTTGTCGGCGCTATCATCATGTAACTAAATCCGCGTAAATGGAAGTTTACCGTGCGAAAACCAAACCGCCTTTATTACAATATTACTTACTGATTTTCGGCCAGTCTGATTAAACTGCAGTCGTTTTCGTATCCTCCCAATTTGTTTTGCATTCCGGTATGAATAATCGAATTAACTGGAATATCGACGTCGTTAGAGCACAAATATTGCAACACTTCTACCACTTCCCTACCCGGAGACTGAAAAAAATTATTGTAACCGTTATTGGCGTATAAATGTACTGTACGATAAGCACTCGACTCGTCCGTATACAGAAATTGCAAATTATTTTACCTAATGACGAGACGTGTATAAAATCTTCGGCTAACGTTCAAATAGATGTCTCGCATCCATCTCGAGCGCAAAGCGTGCCACGCGGACGCGTCTAGAAGCGCCTTCTAGCGTGGAATACGCCAAGCTTCCGCCGCGGTCCGTGCCAGAGGTGGCGTCGGAGCTCCGCAACCATTTTCCCCCATTCGAAGCTCGGCCACGGTTCGACCCAAGTCTCTTCGGATTGAGGGAAATGGCCACGGCGGATTTGTGTTTGTTTGCTGGCCTCTAACAGGCCATTAAGGTCATTTTGCCGACCTATGCCATTCGGGCCGGGAGTCGGCAGTTCTCAAACCAGGCTTTTTCCACCGTTTCCGAAGCTTTACAAACGTTGTGATGTCTGGCGGAGGGTACTTGGAAGGCCAATAAAAGTAATTCCTACGTATCTTGTTTTGTTGTTTTTATTCTAACATTCACCCAGCTTTTTAGACACGCCACGTACAGTACTATACAGTACGTACGCATAATTTAACGACTATAGTGAATTGCTCGCTTTATAACTGAAGCGTAAAATGTACTGTACTTCGACCGTAAAATATATCGGTAGACGAGAAGGTGGTATTATGGAACCCCCATTTTCATTATAGCGAATTGTAAACAAGGTATCATAACTACACCCACATTTTTTTGTGTGAAAAGTACTGGTAACTATTAAACTAAATGCTCCTAATTGATTTTTCGCTAGTGTAACTATAAGTATGGTTTTTGAAGGCTTTTGTACAAAAAGTCAGAAAGTAGGCTTAAGGAAAATCGGGTGGTAATATGGAACCTTAGTGTATGTTTTCAAAAAATGCTTTAGTGTATCCAAAAATAAATAGGAAAGTACAAAGAATGTTAAATAATTACATAATTATTTACTCCAATGTATTTTATCGAAAAAATGATTTAATAATAATAGAGAGGTTGAGGCAGACGTTTTAAACGTGTAAACGTGTACGTGTGACGATCGGCGCCGCTTTCCCGTAAGCCTAAAAGTTTGATGATGGTGTTTGGAATGTCGAGCGTGATTCCACCGACTATCCAAACACCATTGTCAAACTTTTAGGCTTACGGGAAAGCGGCGCCGAACGTCACACGTACACGTTTACACGTTTAAAACGTCTGCCTCAACCTCTCTAATAATAAAGAAATGTACAAAGAAGAAGCTAATCATTTACAAAAATCATAAATATAATGCTCCTATAGCGTTAAGTATCTATTTTTACTTTTTTCATTTTCCTTCTATTTTTTCATTCATCTACCACAGGGGTGTCCAACCCGCGGCCCAATAAACGTGTAAAAAAACCGACAAACTTTTTAATTTAATTTAATTTAATTTATTTGTTTCAATGGCATAAACTAAAAAAAAAGAAGTTTCACAAAGCAGTAAACCTTTATATATATTTTATTTTTGAGTGAAAAGAAAATACTTTCAACTACTTCGAAACGTGTGAATGAGGAAGGAATACTAAATAAAGCTAAAGTTGAGACTCAAGAATTATACACCCAAATTCGGGAAAAGGAGAGGAAGGCCAAAAGATAAAAAGTAGTGAAAAAGCTTAAATAGACTTTCTGTTATGCAAATATGGATCCATAATTTTCAAACCTTCCTCACTTTTTTATCTTTTGTCCTTTCTCTCCTTTCCCCGAATTTGGGTCTATTATCCTTTGAGTCCCAACTCCAGCTTTATTTAGTATTCCTTTCAGCGTTACATGATTTGGCTACTTTGCGCCAAAGTTGTCTGCCCTTTTTTAATTTGGCATAAAAAATATCATTTGGCGCATTGGCTAGTTTTCGGGCTACAAATTATTTATAAATATATTAGTCGAATAAAAATGCAATTTAAAATGGTGTTTTGTCACTTTTTATTAATTAGAGACCCAAATAAAACAAAATATTTGTATTTTTCAAATACTGTATATTTTTGTTTGTCTCCTTTATAATAAATGAATTTATCTATTCCTAAGTAAAAATTGAAAGTGTCTATAAAAGTAATTTTTTAAAATATACTTTTTCATGATAAAGATTTAATACTTATTACTTTAATCTAGACATGTCAATCCTTAAATATACTTGTATATTCGAAAGTTTTTAATGCTAAGTGAATTTATTTCTAAAATATAAATCGTGTAGTTGTAGGTTCAGTGGTGCATGTATTCCGTTCCAGAGACTTAGGAGTACGTATTAATCTGTATGATGTTCACGTTTTTTTAAAATTTGGTCTTGACAGACATAAGTTAATTCAAGATGGCGATGCGTGAAATACGGACCCCATTGGTGCTTTTAATATGGAACCCGTCTAACTTTTGTAAAAGTATGTGGTAGATCAGGGGTGTCCAACCTTTTTGTTTCTCTGGGCCACATAGGACGATGTCAGGTAGTTTTGGGCCAAAGTATGTTATATATACTTGTGGACCAATTCTTAAATATACTTGTATATTTAAGGATTGATCCAAGGATAAATATACTTGTATATTTAAGGATTGGTCTAAGGATAAATATACTTGTATATTTGAAGTGACGGTAATTTTCGACTAACCGGTAATTTTCGAGTTAATTCGAACTCGGATAGTTCGAAATCCCGTTAGATCGTAACTGTACTTTTGTCCCGGCCGGGGATGAAAAGATTTACACGTTAAGTAATTCGGTTAGTTCGAAATTCGAAGCGAAAATTCTGTCCGAACTATAATATATGTATGTTAACTGGTTCGTTTAGTGCCTCCGTGCTATATATAAAAGAAAACAATTAGCCGAGAACGACTCTAATCTGGTGAATATGGCTTTGCACTTACGGTAAAACATTTTCGGGTGTCACCTTATCCACGGACTTCCCTTTTCTCTCAAAAAATACGGCTGGTTTTCGGACTGCAAGATTTGGGCTGTGAGTAGCAAATTGAGATATTTGTAGAACTCTAGGCTTCTACATTTGGGAGACTTATTACTTTTTGGGCCACTTTTAAAATAATTCGGGTTACGTTTCGAAGAATTCTTTACTTTTTATAAAACCTATCTGGCAACCCGTGAGGTTATCATCGGTTACGTGCTGCTTACCTGCACTTTATTTTTATTATTATTATTTATTAACGAAAATAGCGTTCTGTATACGTAGCCATCCGTTGGCTTAATAAATTACACCAGTTATCTGGCATTTGGCATATACAGAAATATGTAAATCTCGGATAATTCGAAATCGCGATTATTTCGTCCTTGAATTTCAAACTAACGAGGATTTCCTGTACAGTATTTTCTTTTCTAAATTTGAAAAAGAAACAATTATATTTTATCGCCGTACCACCGTAGGTTCAAGTCCGGTTCGGACCAGCGAGTGTCGCGGGTCGGGGTGTGGATCCTTCTGGCTGGAGTCGGCCGATCGTAACGAATGAAAATTGTGACTGGCGTCTCGCACCGATAAACCAAACCAGCCCCACGATTAATAATATATATTAAACTTACCCATAATTCCAGTTTCGTAAAAGAAGAATAATCTAATATTGCAACTCTTTCTCGACACGCGTGATATTCTGACTGTACTTTTTCGAACCAGGACGGTTTTCCGAATGTTTCGGTAAACGCAATGCGTCTTCCTCCTTCTTGGATATCTGGCTCGTCTGCAATTGAAATCATCAGTTTTTTTCAATTACCAACGAAAAAACAAAATAAATTAAAAAGATTGGCATCATACCGTGTGCTTCAAGACCACAGTTTGGCCCCTATTCAAATTAAGTGTCAATAGAACGAAGTAGCCATTTTCATTAATCGGCTGAATTAATCGACGCACTTTAACGGTGGGTAAGTTTAAATAACGCCCACTCGAATAATAGGATAATTTCCATTGTTTACTCTATTGGAGTCTATCCTATCTTTCTTCCGACACCGACATTCCACTTTCAACCGTCCATGCTCGATGACAGGATCAAAAACGTTATCATCATCTAAACCAGCGGTCGGCAACCTTTCTCATTCACGGACCACTAAAGTCGCAACTTTGAATCCCGCGAACTATTATCATGAATTTTTTAAACAATACAAAATCTGTAGAATAACGATCATAAAAGTTCAATTTTACTATATTAATATTAAACTCACATGTTTAATTATAACAAATTAATGAAAGCCTAAAGTTCATTGCTACTTGTTTGAAACAAGTTTATGGATTCTTCGCGCTTTTCCACGAAGGACGAAAATCGCACTCACGATATTATTTATTTATTGTTCATTATTTATTAATAACAGTCACTTCGTTTTTGGTTTCAAATTCGAATAAAAAACCCCAATGAGTGAAAAAAGTAACTAAGCATTTTGCATTTCTTTCGTAACACTTCTCGTAACCTTCGGTTGATCAATGTTCAAATTTATCCACGGACCACCCAAATTTTCTCGCGGACCACCGGTTGCCGACCGTTGATCTAAACTTCACTCACTGAGAAAGGTGCATTAATTTCAATTCGGAGTCTTACATTGAATGTCGGCCAATGGCCTCGTAACCAGATCCATCGTTAGGGGATTCAAGTTAAAATGTAATATGAATCACTACACATTTTAATAAATTATAACTTTGGTTACTTACATAATGGACTAAAACAAATATATTTAATTAAATTACCTAGTTTACTCCACAATTAGGATAAATTATATTCGTATATTTAGTGTTTTTATTCACTTTTTCATTATAAAGGAAAAGGCCCGAACCCCCAAGCCTCTCTCCTGTCTCCAGTGTCAGGCAATAATTTGGATATTTCAATTTTTTTAATAAAATTTTTTAAAATAAAAATTAAGTGGGAATACAATAAATTACTCAAGAAATACACGAATTTATCACCACGTTCGATGCATTTTTATTAGAATAGTGTACACACTTAACGTTTGGGCTGCAATTTGAAAAAATTGTAGGCCTATAAATTCCCATTGTTGTCTGTCTGTCTTGTCGTGTCTTTCTTTCTTTTATCTCAACAAGGTATTTAGACTAAAGACGAGATCAGATATGGATACCTTAGGGTCAGGCGTCCCCGATTAACTATATACGAACGTCCGATGCAAACCGGAAGTCACGTAATTTTGATTCAAAAATTTTCCCCGAAAGGTGGATAGATGACCGGCACTACTACGTTGCTAACGCTAAAGCGTGATGTACGGGGGCGAGCCACTACTAATTTGAGATGGAGAGAATATATTTTAAATTAAATACAGTCGACCCCCCCNTTCACAACTGATAAATGAATGACAGAAAGAACACACTTCTGTAACAAATGGATCAATTTACTACAATTGTAATAGCTATCAAATATATTTTAATCAAAGAATACTTCAAGATAAATATCTCAAAGTATTCTTTGATAACTGGGTTAAAATCTGACTCTCTCTCATCTTAGAGTGAGTTAATTTTTAAAAAATGTAACATTTACAAAACAATTAATATGTCATCTTCTAATTCATATTTTTTAATAAACTAGGCAATATCTTCTTCTTCCAATTCAATTGTTTTGCTTAACAAATATAATCAAACACCAAACACTTGCTGAGCTTACTATTAATTTAATATTCAAATGCTTTCAGACTACTTTAATAGGCCATCCTCAGGAAATTACTGTTCTACAATCGAACACAAAACTTTTCAAACATTCTTTAATTAAATTTAAAATTTCTAAAATATTT